CCAAAGACTTTTAAAAACAGATTTAGCAGTTCTGACAAACAAACTTTGAAGGGTCTTATACTGCCTCTTTGTTATGTGATGCTGAAGGAAACTAGCAAAAGAGAAGATATTAGGCTGGCAGCATCAATTCAAAAACCTAAAACATTCCAGAGAAAGCAAATTACTTTAAAATATTCACTTTAAAGTAAAATTAGTTTAGAGAGAAATGTAAAAAAAAGATCTGTTGTAAAAGTGGGGGGAATGAAGACTACGAACAAATATAATTAAGAAACTCGTAACAAAAAAAGGATAGTATCATGACCCCTTTATCCCCTCAGATTCTTTCACAGTATTTTAAGTTTTACCAAGGAAAATGGACTGATAACAGTATAATTAAGGGTTATGTAACATACTAGACAAATTCTGTCAAGCCAAAATGATCTCAAATGTCTCAAAATGCCTGACAGTTACAGTAAGTTACATTACAATTCCATTTTATTTGAATAATAGCAACTTGTAAACAAGATAAAGAGGTGAGACAAAATTTCCAATGACAAACCAGAGTGGTAACTTTTAATGTTAGATGACAAATAATCTAGTAATATCTATTATGAATCCTAGGAAATTACTCTGTATTTTGCACTACCATACTTCAGTCAGGTTTAAGACTAATCTTGATTTGTAAAATTTGAGTAAGAGATCTATATGTAGAATATTTAAATTACTAGTATTTATAGAAGCTTGTCTCTAGGGTCCAATAAAGGAAATATTTTTAATTAAATCAGAAAAACTGCATTAAATGTAGGATTTATAGCAATTGAGATCTCTAGAACGCAAGAGAAGGACAAGGCAGCTACTCTGGATTAGTTATGGTCAAGTCACAATGACAAAGAGCTTGTAGTGATTAGAGTACAAATCTGAAGCACTTCTGTGGAACACCCTCCAGTCTGGCTTAAACTGAAAGAAGCCTACTTCATGCCCTGGAAATCTTTTGGTTCAAGAGGTTGTCAACTAGTTGTGAGGAAACAAATTGTCTCTTTTGCTTTTTCTCTCCTGCTTGATCTCACAAACCCAGAAACATTAATATGATACCAAGATCCTTCAGAAGCATTTCTCTGATGCTTCTGCATTTCAAGAATTTAAAAAGTGAAGACTTTTTCACACCTTTTTTAAGATCAAATTTACTGGTCTCACGTAAATGTTTTTTGATGTTTAGTACACTGTAAAACAAAAATCATCACAGCTCTGCTTTTCAGAAGTTACTAGAATCATAATTTCTCATGTTGCATACATGCAATATCCAAACACTGTTGTATGTTAGGGTGTTATATATCAGGAAATATCAGTCCTTTTCTGGCAACTCACTGGCATTCTCTCAATACTTTTGAATGAGAACATCAATGCCCGGTAAGTACAGAAGCCCGAAATAAACTATCACCTCTTTGCAAAGAGTTTAACTGAAAGGTTGAAGCAACAGCCATTAAAGAAAATCTTGCTTTAAAATCTAAACTAGAAGGTTTTTGGAAGACACAGCTACTTTCAAGACTTACAATTGTTAAAAAATAACTTCTGAGTCAAACTGTCTATGCCAGAGATATAATTTCTTCAGTATTACAGGCCAGAGATTTTTTTATCAGAGCCTGCCTCCTTGTGTCTGTAGAATAACATCTCAAAGTAGTCAAACAGTTAGACTCGTGTAAGTTTTCAACTTTTTCAACTTTTTTATTTTATTGACTACCAATTACTTATTTGTCTTTTGGTAGACAACCAATGTAGCATAGTTTTCTGGTATTCCCTTATACCTGCTGAATTAGTTGACCTTTACTGAACCTGAAATAGCTATATACATTAACCATTAAGGGTCTAATCTTTTTTAAGGAGAATTATTTTGTGAGATCATGAACTGTACAACTTAAAAAAAAAAAATTTTTTTTTTATTTCTTTACAGTCTATGTTCTAAGTAGAACACATTTAACAACCAAGTAAATTTATATTTGCTTCCTGACAGTATGTATCATATCTTTATTGCTTCAATCAGTTATGTCCATCTACTAATGACAGAGCTAAAAAAGCAACAGTTTACACACAGCATTTAAAGGTACTGATCACTTGCTGCTTGGAATTTGAATACCTAAAAAGGAGTTTAAGCACAAAGGTTTTGTAAGGAATAGACAGGACTACCAGCAATAAACTCATCTTTTAATATTTGCAGTGTTTCTAGGAAATACCACAACAAAAAGTATCTGTGATGTGTTACAGCATATAAGAACATAATTTTTCTACCACGTTTTATTTCTCATGGGGAAAATCATTTGGCAATTGAAAAATACAAATAATCCCTGTTGTAGCTATTCATACTGTGTAAAACAAAGTCATGTTCATTAAATTACAGTTTCTTTAAATCAACATACGCCAGTAATATCAAAAAAGCAGGAGTCCTGTCTTCACCCCAAGTCACTGTGTCCTGTTCCTTGTTCTTCTCTGCGTGGGAGTACTGCTGTTTAAGCAGCAGTGAATTGGCCTGGATGAAAAATAGCTTATTACTGGCTTTCATCATACAATTGCATCAACATTCGCTTCTCAAGCACACTAGGGTTGGGAATGAGAGGCCAGAGAAGGACTACAGTATCTTCTTTAGGTGGCACTACTGATTTATGCTAGCTTAATGCTTCATGTGTGCTATAAGAGATAAAAATTTAAAATGGTGTATGCAAATAAAATGTGTAACTGCCATTTAAATTCCCAGCTTTAAGAGTGCACCATATACCACCTCTCATGGATGCTGATGAGAGACAAAAATATTATCAAGGCAGTAGGTAGTCACTCCTGACAATTTTATTGCTAAGCTATAGAAAGTAATATTTTAAGCTGTAAACATATCTTGTCAGAGTTTTGCTTCTGATGTTCAAACTAAATTGTGTCACAGCTCTTATTATCAGAAATATACATGTGGAATTTACCTAAAATGAACATAAATCAAAACCTAGCAAACATACTGACAACTACTATGCCATGGAAACATTAATAATACTAGGACCAAAGCTTTGTTATAGATACGAGACACTTATAGCAACATTCCAAAGCCACGAACATGTCACTCTTTAGACTGGCAGTTACACCCATCAGATGACCAAAACTCAGATGGTTCCGCCTCACAGAGTGGCTGTGCAAGCAGCCTTGCGATGGAACATGCAGCACCGACCCATCACATGAGCTGTCACTGCAAGGTCCCCTCTGGCTGCTGGGACACATGCAGTGCCAGGCATGCACCTGCAGATGAGGCTGGTGGAGAAGTGCCAGCACAGAGAACACCACATGTTCCAGCACACACCAAGATTTCCTCACACTATTCCCTCCGCACAATACATTACAGAAAATACAGAGCTCCTCTGAAACACATTTCAAAGGCTAAACAAGGAGATGTCCACTTTTTTCACTGAAGCATCAAATGAGAAACACTGCTTTAACTCTACATAAATCTGCGTTGCTTTCAAAATTTTACCTGAAAAGTATCCTGAAATTTTTTTGTATACCCAGACCTACATTTTTAAAAACCTATCTTTTTATTAAAGCTTTTATTATTCATTGAATGTTAGAAGTATATTCAGTACAATTTTTTGACAGAAGCAATATTAATAATTAAAACTTTGGGATTTCACATAATTGCTCTAAACCCACAGTGTTAAAAATTAATGGCTCATAAATCTTCTTGCTTCAAAGTCAGAACTAAATGAAGGGAAAAAAAATGCTATGAAACAGGAGTTCTGCATTTTAGTCAATCCAGACAAACTCATCCACCACGGGAGGAAATAAGTGTCACCAATGGAACACTGGTGAAAATTAATTCTTCTCCTTTGTGTATTTAAAAGAACAAAGGATCTGGGCAAGACCTAACCTGAAAAAGAGGTGTCACTGCTTTTGACTTTCTGTAATACTTTAATTAGAATATAGCCTTCACTGTACTCGGTAATGAATCAGATGTGTTGAAGTATTCAAATGAAAAATAAAATTTTCAGACTACTTAGGACAGATAAGGTAAATAACTTTACAGAAAATAGTAATTATCCAACACAGGCTTTTTTTTTTCCCTCTACACTAAGATTTACATTAAGTTTCAGAATGCAAAAGACAAAAACAGGGTTCAGACACTAAACCAATTCTGTTCTAAAATAAAAATAGACTTGTACCTTGTCATCTACACTAAATGCTAGTCTTTTTCTTGTCTAGTCAGAGAGGGTGTTACATATGATAGAAAACAACAACAAAAAACCAGTGCAACTTGACCTAGATGGTGATTCCTGCTATACAAAGTGTGTCTTGAACCATGTTTTGCCATTAAATAAAAAACAAGTACTATTGAGAACAACTAGTGTTCCAATATATGGCTCTCTCACTTCTCTGGTTGCAATTTTCCGTATTAGCACAGTATTCCTCTGTAACACATAAAAGTTTATATTATTCTTCTGTCACTGAACTGATAGATTTTTCAGAGTTTTCTGAAGTTCCAATTTCATGAATTCATCCTTACAAATAAACTACATCTACTTTTTAGCTCTTTTTGAAGACAAGCCAAGTAAACCCCTCAGATGACCTCTCTTCTCAATAAAAAGAAAAAAAAAACCAACACTGTGACTACACACCTTCCTTCCCCTTAAGGGTGGGTCGTCACAAACATAAACAGACATTTCTGGTGATCTCAGGCATTTTCCCAGTGTGGTTTAACCGTAACAGGAATTTAAGACTAACAGCAGGCCCGCATTTCTTGGTTCGCTACGAAAAGTCTTTTAGAAAGGCTCACAGTTCACCCTGACGACCATCAGCTTAGAAGCCATTATCAGCTTAAAAAAACTGCCTACTAATTCGGAAGGTTTACAGTAAGGTTTTGCTGTGTTCATTTCAGTGAAACAAAAAAAGCCACCCACTCGCCCCCTTTGAGATCCCTGAGAAGGTGACGAAACCCCATAGAAAATAAAAGGAACACTACTGGCAAGACCAAAGACTCTCAAACCCCTAACTCTTACTCAGACACACAGGACAGAAAGGAGGTCTTTTCTGGAGGAGAAAAACTAAGAAAAGGCTCGCAAGTATTACTTCTTTTTTTGATGCCATACTTATTAAGGCTATCCCAACACTGATAGAACACTGCACTCAACACACGCGTGTACAAGCACGCATCTAGTCTGCTAACATACCCACCCCGCCCGCGAAGAGCTTTTAACTCCACAACAAGGTAGAGCCCACGGGGGGCAGGGCGGGGCAGGACCGCGACCACCCTGCACCGCCCAGAGGTGGGGCCTTCCCGCCTCCCCCGCGAACCCGCACATCCCACAGGCCCCCCGGGCGGGTAGGACAGGAGAGGGGAGCGGAGGGGAGGGCAAAGGAGGGGAGGGCAAAGGAAGGGAGGGAGGGGCTGTCCGCCCGGCGCGGCGACCGGTGGCTGGGGCAAGGGGGGCGGTGGCCGGGCCAGGGACCGGCGGGGCGGCGCCGCGGCCGCCTCCTCCTCACTCACTTACAGTAGTAGGCCACCACGGGCTCGCGCTTGTCCAGCTCCTGCGCGGTCCGCAGGTGGTGCTGGATGCTCCTGAGCGGCGGCGGCAGCGGCGGCAGTGCCGGGGCCGGGGCCGCCATGGCTCTCGCTCCCGGGGCTGGCGCGCGCCGCTTCCGCTTCCGGCTCCGGGCGCCGTGGGCGGGGGCCGGAGGGTGAGAGGGCGGAGCAGCGCCCCCTGCTGGTCGGGCGGGAGGCAGCGTTCCATGCGGCCGCCCGCCCGCCCGGCCATGGCGTCGCACAGCCTCAAGCCCCACCTGCGTGGCCCCTTAGTGCTTGAAAGGCGTCCCACAGCAGCCGTGAGGAAGGGCCTGGAGACCTCGGGGCGGCTGGGGCTTCCCCTGGCCCTGCCTGGCCCCGGCTGTGCCCTCACTGACGCCCTTTCCATCCCCCTTGTCTCCCTTCCCAAGGAGCTGTGGAGACCCTCCCTGTGGAGGTACACCTGGAAGTAACAGATCGAGAAACCTGCCGTTTGGTCTGCGCCAAGCCTCACCAGGCGTCCAGAGGGCTGAAGGGGCTGAACTGCACCTTCTCTCCTGGACCTCTGCCCTTCATCTTGCTGGAGAAGCCATATGCTACCATGGCCTGGCAAAAAGGGCTGGGTTGCTTCCCAGCAGCTGTCAGCAGGTCCACTAGCCCTGGAACGTACATCTTGTAGGATCACTACTTCCCAGATAACTTCTTACTGGAGGGACCCCCAAGGATTTCTGGTTTTGCTGAGAGCAGATAAGAACAGCAAAAGAAATGTGAACTGTTGAAGCAAAATGGTTTCAAATGGATCTCACAAATTATTGCAATATTATTTCAGTGTCTATCAGCTTCTCATTCTGACAGCATAATTAAAATAGTTTTTAAATTTCTTTTATGTAGCCCTGTTGCCAAACATCTTCCTGGTCTCAAAATGACTGCAAGGCAAGAGAATGTCAGTGCTCCAGGGCATAAAGAAAGATGTGTGTTGGAGGGAAGCAAGGGGTAGAAGAGGTGGTTACGTTGTCTCATTTCTGGCATGGGAGAGTGCTGAAAAGAGAACAGAAGGAAAATGATGTCTGAACAGAAGAAAGAATGCCAAGAAGGGAACAGAACCAGGAGTGGTTACAGGACTGGGAGGATGTTGTGGTGGTATACTAGAAGCTGGCTGGCCTACAGCAGCTGTATCTTTGATGTAAATACAATCACATCACAATTACAGCTCTTTGTTAAGTGAAAACTAAAATGGTCGTGATGGCTGACTAGAGACAAAACCGACTACAAACACATGAGCTGGGGATTGCTTTGAGTGCTGTCTGTGAAAATGAGGTGGCTCAAGTATAGTGGAGAACAATGAAAAGGTCAGAGAAGCACTTACAGTGTGAACCTGATGTAAGCAACAAAAATGCTTCCTCAGTGTTCTGGGAGACAGGACTTCATGTTCACTGTTATAGAAATAGGATAGAATCAAAGAATCCCAAAGTGGATATAATTCCTTTCATAATGGCAATAAAACCCCAAACCTTCAGATCATCTCAAATATATGCTAAGCATTTGAGTTAAAATCAGTGCAACACAGAGAAAGGAACACATGAAGGCATATCAATCTCAGAGGGAGTAAGAGTGGAAGGAAGCTGATAGAAAACAGTGTAAATGAGGATTAAAGTGGTGGGAGTTTGGGAGACCAGGCTTAACAAAAGTTTAGAGACACTTGAGTACAATGAATGCCAGGAAAACAAATGGCAAATATAGGAAAGAGAAGTGTTGACAACCATGGGGAAATGGTTTCTTTACATGAACATAATATCTCCATCAACTTGTTCCAGAAACTAATAACAGAATCAGTCACAGAAAAACATTTGCACTAAAAGGCAATAATGCACATTTTGTTTCTAAATGAAAACCTGAGGAATTTGACAGTTTTAATTTCACAGGAAATGCAGGGAAAAAAATTGGTGTTGTAACTCATTTGCAAGAAGGAAACTTTTTAATATGTTCCAGATTTTTGGGGGTTTTGGCACTCCTCTGACCTGTCTGAAGTGTTTGGAAATCTACACTGCAGAAGAAGAACAGCAAGCAATGGAAATATTAAGCACCAGGGAAAATACTGACAAGGTTGTGATTAAGTTATTTTATTACTATACAAATATCTGATTAAGTGTGATTTGTGTACCACTGATCACAACTGTACCTAGCACATGAAATTAAATTCTTCTTTTTAGTAGTTCTATGTATTGTATTCTTTCATAAATAAAAAAGGGTTTTTTACCTGAGATTACAGTTTTCAGTTGCAAAGAATAATTCCAGACGGATACTGACACATACAGTGAAAAATTACACATGTATCAACCAAAGCACATGGCACATTATGCAAACAAGAAATTAGCACAGTGATTTTTATTCCACTTCTAATGCTTGCAAATATCAAATAACTTACAAGTAAGTTTAATATTGCACAAATCTGATGGTTTTGACTGGACATTTATTTAAGACAACATGTATCTTATTTCCGTAGGGAAAAAATAACGTTAATGATTTAATATAGTGAATGCATTGAAATATATCATCTTGTTCTTGATCAGCATATTAAAAAAATCACACATCTAGTTGTCACCCACTTTGTTTTAAATGGCCCAGATTCAATCAAATCCAAGACACCTAAATCATGCAATTCTATTTATGTAATGAGGATTACTTTTGTGAGGGAGAATTAGAAGGTGAGGATTACAATCTTGTTTGGGACTGCTTAAGTAACAGTTGGTGCTAAAACATTTGGCAATAATTTTCCCAGAATTTTCCAAATATTCCTTAAAAGACCCAAATGTCACTGGAATCTCAACTTTTTATGTTTGAAAAACAAACGGAAAATAGCTAACTGTTATGTTTGCTATTTTTAAATATTTCATACAGGAAACTACCTCCTCCTTTCTTTCTGGTTCTAAAATCTGTTTTATCTCCATTATCTCACTCCAGCACAAGGAAATCACTTGTAAATTTAATATGTTTATTAGTCCTTAAGAAGAAACTGTCGCACACAAAAATATCTGATACCTATATAAAGTTTGAAACCTAATCTAACCACATACACTTATTGCATAGAATAATTTTAGTATGCAGACTTCTTTTTTAGCTGTTATTCTGCAACTTTAGTCAGAGCAAGAAGTTAGATGTGGCACATACAGGAAAAAATTCTGTGGGCCCAATTCTGCAGTCACACACAAGCAAAACTCTCACTGAAATCAAGTCATTATTGGGCCTAGAGAAAGCTTATCTCCGAGATTTTATTTTGACACTTTAAAGCCTCTTATGCAAAATTAAGTCAGAAAGCCCTTTTACTCCTTCAAAATGGGAACATACTAAATCGTTTAAATTTTTTTACATCTTAAGCCAAAACATAAGGAGGGTAAGGCATTCCAGTCAGCACAAAGAATACCATGTGACTCTCTCACTTATAAAAGGAGATTCCCAGCCAGCAGGTGACACTAGCTGGACCACTACAAAGCTGGTTGGTATTGATGGATATGTTGTCCCCACAGTTCTAACCAGGAGTCTCTGCCCTAGGGATCTGAGATGCAGGTTGCAACAGTGGCACTGATTGGGAAGATGCTCAAATGCTTTCTGGTGCTCAGAGATTATTGACCATTACCACTTAATTCTCGAGCCATAAGAACATGTAAGAAATTTAGAACAGTTTTTCTTGGAAGGTCAATAACCTTATTAATACCAACTGCATGCACTCAGAAAAGCTGTGAATAACAGTACACTTATAAATTACCTCCTCCTCACATACAGACACTCCTCTAGAGGCAAAACTATTGTTTGTGGCAGGTCATGAAAATATGTTACTCTTGTAAATCTTACTGTCTTTGATCTTGACATGGAAACAAAGATTATTCACATAATATGGTAGTTTTTAGATGAGGAGTAAATGTCAGATGACTATTCTGCAGCAGTAATCATGAATGAGGTTCTCTTCTGCAACACTACATAGAAAACAGGAGATGTTTTTTGTTATGGTTTGAAATAATTTTGATAAAACTACAGGTGAACACGGTGGTAAATGACTGGGAGTGGTTGACATCACTGAGTTTTTAAGAAACCTAGCCTTCTACATGAGATCTCAAAAATTTCAGCAACACACAAGATCATTGTAATCACAGTAAATGTATACATTGCAATAAGAAAAATTGTCTTTTCAAAGTGCTCTGGCACCATGCACCGGGTAATGTTGAACTTTTTTTCAAGTGCTCCCACATCACACATGTAGATTGCATTCACTTTGAAACCAAAGAGCTGAATCTGAAGCCAAAAAGCAACAACTTCAAGAACAATCCTTAAGAAAACAGAGAAGATATAAAAACCAGTGTAGGATGACTTTTGGAGAATATCTTCCTGTTTGATGCTCTTACATGCAGCGTAAAGGTGAAAAAAGGCTCCAGGTACCAGTACAATCACCAGCTGTAATGCCCAGAATACCTAAAATGTAGCAGAAAGGCGGCTGTCAGATCATTTACAACCGCATAGGGACAGTTAAAATCCACACATATTGGAACATTTTGCAAGTCTGTTTTTAATATGTATGTTTAAACACTTAGATGACAATAAAGGTAAAAATGACTGTTATGTTTTTATTT